GCTAGATTGGAAATACCCATATGCTGATAAAGTACAAGTTTTTTTTTTTTTTAATTCGGGCTTTAACAATCTTTACCAAAATCCGTTCCACGTATTCAAAAAAAAAATGAAATTCTGTAAAAAATTTACTCTTCCAGCCACTTTTGAAGAAAAACAGTCGAAAATTTCCCACTGTGAGCGGGAACAATTATTCAATCCCGATTTCGACCATTCCGACCTTCTATTTTATGTACGGGTCCCCTGGGAGAGGTCTGACAAATGATCACCTTCGATCAGTAGTTTTTTAGTTAATGTATATAATCATGAAGAAAAAAAATCGCCCAAATTTTTGTTTTAGTTGAATGCACTTTAGATCTAGGTGTGCGATATGATCTAGTATGTCATTGTCCTGCAGCATATTTTGTGTCTCAGGGGCGTAGCGGGGACAGGAGAACATTATGTGTTCCGTGTTTTCCCTTATTCCTATGCACCGCGAACAGTATGGGGAGTCATTATGCCGAAATCTGTTTCGATAACCACGATAAAGACCGTGGCCCGGTAGAAACTAGGTTAGCTAAAAACTACACTCTCCGTGAGACCTATTAAGCTTTTTTCAACGTTGGGGATGAGCTTGTGGGTCCACCTCCCTTCTTCTGAGACGTTCCATCGTTTATGCCAGATTACCATAGAACGACTCCTTTCTCCTGTAGCTGTTTTCTTTCGCGTTAGACCATCGTTTTTCTCGGTGATTATATTTTTTCTTTTCATCTCTTGTGCGAGAAAGTCTACTGGGACCAGTCCAGTGCACTTAAGCGATACATGGTTGTTAGTTTCTGTGCATAACATTTTACCTTCATTAATCGGAGCAGCATAAATAAAACTGAGCTAACCACCCTAAAGTAAAGGATTCTTCTGCTATGTTTAGGACCGCCGTTATTAGACATAATTCTAGACAGACATGCTTAAACATTCGAAGCCTTTTCGGAAAAATACTCAATGTGGGTCCTGAAATTTAGTCGATTATCAATCATAACAGCCAGATATTTAATTGCAGGCTTGGAAGTGAAGGATTCCGACCCTACGCTAAATCTTATCGTTTCTACGGCTTCCATGCTGCTTATTAGAACTGCCTCTGATTTCTAATCCGCGAGGCTTAAATTCCTATACGTTAGCCCCGTTTTTATACTCCTCATAGTCTCGCTAGCTTTACTCTCAATCTCCTGGATATGCTTCGCTACAACCACCACTGCAATATCATCTTCGCATTCAACTACCTTTGTAGTAGCGGTCCGAGAACAGATCCCTGAGGCACCCCCGCCGCGATGCTGTATTCCTTAGAGCCTCTATCGCTCCAGTACTTCAGCTTGCAGTGTGATATATAGCTCCTAATTATTCTTATGATATATCTTGGAGCTCCCATTTTAATGAGCGTTTCCATTATGCGCTGCCAGCCCAAAGTATTAAAGGCGTTCTTTACGTCCAGCGTTATTACCGCGCAGAACTCTTTTTTCCCTCCGCGCACCTTTTTCCTTCGATGGCCTCTTTGGTAGTCGACCACTGATTTAATTGCGTCTATGGGCGACCGGGAGCCCCTTGAAAAGTGAATTTGTTAATTCATTGAAATGAAGGAATCTACAGAAGCACTATTAATTGTATATCTACTTCTAGCGAAAATTTTGTAATTGGCGCAACCTTGATCAAAAGAGTCGCTTAAGCAAGCTTAGCTTATTATACTCAAGTGTAAATTAAGCGTAGGTCAGGAACAATTCCAGCTCGTCTTGTTATTTAATTGCAAAAGCTCGTAAAAAAATCGCATATAAAAAGAAATATTAAAACCTTAAAAAAAAACCGTTGAATTTTGTGAAACTTTTATTATCTTCCCATTGACTAAAATAAGAGTAAATAATAAATAATGGCTTCCGTTTCAGTTTCTAGAACACGGTACGACGATATAGAAGTGCGTACATACATATGTACATATTTTTTAATAAGCAAGCTTACTTTTGAAATGTGTGCTGTTATTTTAAGCATACATACTTACATCCATAAATACCACATTTATACGTACATATGTACATATGTATAAACATGTTTTAGCTTCAATTAACAAGAAAAGATTTTCAAGAGACTGTCATTGCTCAGCATCCTTGTATCCCTTAGATTTACCAACATAAGCTCGCAGCTACATGTGTACATACTTATGTATGTATACTTAACTGCTCTTCATAGATGAGTAGTACATTCATCACGTGTCACAATTTAAGAAAGCAAAAATTTTAATAAAATTAAATGTACTTATGCACATACATAGCATGTATTCATTATACAAAACAAAAATGTGTCAAAAAGGTCCTTAACTTCAGTCGCGGAAAAAATTACACACGTTGGAATCGCTATTTAACTCAAGGACTTTGACTTTTTCGTAAGCATAAGTATTTACATACATACATACATATTTATGCCGATAAATTGTGTACAAACGTACATACATATTTGGCACCACTAAACTCAACAACGTTTTATTTCTTTTGTATAATGCTGTAGAAAGATTGCCAAATGGCTTAAACGGGTTTTCAAGAAGTACAATATAAGTGTATCTACTTGCACTTTATACGAGCGTACAATTGCAATTTATGGCCGAGTGTTCTTTGGCTTAACACATCAGTTTTAGGCTCTGAGTTAAATACAAAAACTAAGTGACAAAAAGCGTTTTGTCGTCTTCTTTATTGCCGCTATAACAGGCTAAGTGATTTTGGCCTAATATACACTGCCGGCCAAAAATATTGGCACAGATGCTTTGTTACAATATATGCAACAATTTTTATTGTAATATTTTTCCGACAATTTTTTATACAAATTTGGTTCATTCCACAACAAAAAACATAAAAATATAACTTTTAAACTTTGTGCAAAACTAGCGAAAATTCAGCTAATTTTCATGCACATTTTCAACTTTTTTTAATACAATTTTTTAGAATTTTTTTCAGTATGCAGATTTGTAGCCCAATCCATTTTATTGTAACAAAATAGAAATTCTAAGTAGCTACGAATTTTTAGCAATTTTTTTCTCGCAGTCTCTTCCATACAAAAAAATTTTTCGAAAATACTTTATATGGAAAAAATGCAAACCACCTTCAACAAAAAAATTCTCAAATATTTCTAAAAAAAAAATTTTTAATTTAAAAAGTAATAAAATAAATAGTCAAATTTTGTCAATAAGTGCCGCAAAGCTGAAAGCTGGAGTGGTGATTATTATTTTCCAATGTAAATTAAGGGTTAAAACGTATTTAAAGGTTACGCAGAGGTATTTTCAGTCATTACGACGCTTAAGACGTCTTGTGAATATCCTAATTATTTTTACAATACTGTGTTATCTGTTGCACACTTCAAACACGGCACACACCCTGCAGAAAAAAATTATCAACTGATAAAAAATAACTAGCTTATAGTTAGCTTTTTGTGGGATTTCGATAAATACCTCACTTTTAACATAAAGTGAGTTGTAAAGTCATGCAGGAGACATGCAGAAGTTATCGGGAATTTGTTTTCTTTACAAGTTTATATTTAACAAATGTCTTACAAAAATACAATTTATTTCTGAACTTCTCACAAGCCTTTTCGAATTCAGGACAAATAAAATGAAGATCGAAATTTTATATTATTATTTTGGCGTTTTATCTGACGGAATTCTAATATGGGACTATGGACCTAGAGCAGAATATGTAAACAAATAAAGAAATAATCAGCCTTATTATGAGTTTCTTTTTCCCCCGAACCGTTTCGCTTCTCACTTTTGGTTTCCATGGTTTTACTATGGGCGAATGACAACCCAGTGGGAAAAGTAGTAATGCATTCCATGCGTGATACATAATCGAATGTATTTCTTATGAGTTTTACATCCAATTACTTTTTAATATGTAATCAGCATTCTAATGTATTCAAAATGTCCCAAAAATTTCATATTAAATCACATTAATTTCTCGATAGTAGGTAATACAAAATTGAATGCCCCAATTTTCTTAGGACATCGCCCTGGGGAAAAAAATGCATTTTCGATTGTGAAAAGGGTTGTTTTACTGATTATTTTTTCGATTACTATACATTACATTTTCCACTGGGAAATTTCGGGAATTTTTTTTTTTTTCGGGCGAAACTCAGGATAAGGCAGAATAAGTAATTTTAAATGAAATAAATAAATAATCATATAAACATTTAAAAAGTTGTGCCTTCTTATTGATATACATATTATGTCCAAAAGTAGTTAGTTACAAGTTAGTTGAAACCTTATGCAGAGAAAAACAGTTCTCGCTTTTCTGCGACCATCGCCCTTCGCGGCCGAAGGAAATAAGTAATACAAAGTTACAACAAGCAGACAGCTGGGTGGTTAAAGGTTAGCTACAAACTAGCCCCATTTCCAGCAGGGCATAAACATACTATTTAAAGTCTGCACACAAATACATGTACAGATTTTATTCGCAAAATCGCTTTTATATTCATATACCTACAAGTAAACACACATACAACTTCACACAAAATAATTTTCCAAGGCAATATAAATGTCCTTGTCCTTTTCCGTGAACCACTTCCGCTATGCATAGTTCTGTGCATACATGCATGTGGTTGTATGTGCATATACATACATATATATGTGTATGAATACGATGTTCTGCGGCCTTCGACTTTCTTCGATGTGCGTAAAAACGAGACCGTGGGAAGGAATAAGCCAGTTCTAGGCCATTTCCATGGTCAAATAAATACGATTGTGTTATGAGGCTTACTGTGATTTAATTGGGCATAGTAATGCGCTTTATATTTGTACATACTTAGATATATGTACATAAGTGTGTACAAGTATCTACTTGGGTATTATATGTCTGTATGCACTTATTACTTAATTATTATTATTTTTGTTTCTTTGCAGTTACTACATCAACTATTTTACAAAAGCAATGCAGCTGGAGGATCCACGTTCGCGTTATAAGCAATTGCAGAATGAACGCTGCTCCAACGAATCCATAGCTATGCAGGTAAAATAAAAGGTTGCATATATGTACATATGTATAAGAGTAGCTATATATTCCTTTATGTACAGTAGTTTGTATGTATGTATTACTCGATTTGATTTCACTATGCGCTTTATTTTGTAAATTATCCTCTTCGCCGCTACCGGTTCACCCTGTATACGTTTTTGTACATATTTATTTGTACAGCCAGTACAGCATGGCTCACCCTATCATGTGTATCCAAGCAACAATTTGCCTGCAGTGCGTGCTTTTCAGGCGGGCCCTGGCACAAACACAAGTTTGCATAATATGTCCTCCAGTCCTTTGCTGTCTTCTCGTGGGAATTTGGTGAGTTTCTAAACAACAGCTATGCACTTAACGTGTATTATTATATTTTATGATTAACATTTGTTAAAATATATACCTACTTTGCATTGCAGGAAATGTCGCCGTTGCCATTGCCACGCTCCTCTTTGACGCAAACTCCACGATTGGGCAATATGTCACGCCGTTCAACCATACAGGAGACTTCCTTTACAAATCCTATCGACACAGATGCGGTGGTAAATAAAATACAGAATATATTTCCAACCGCCAGCGAGGATCATATACGTCTGCTACTTAAAAAGTAAGTCCGTGGCGAATATTTTGAAAATCGCTAAAAAAAACAATGTTTCATTGTACTAATCACACTAATCTTTCGCTTTTACACGCTTACCGCCGCGTCGTTTGCAAAACTTTCTGTGCTGTTAACCTCCACTACCGCTATCACACTAAACTCACACACACATGCACTGTCTGTCTATAAATGTAAAAAAAAAATACTAACAATTTCCACTAAACGCTATTGTATTTTATTTTTACACTCACACAAATGCTAACACACACAATGCACAGGTATTACAATCGTGAAGCTGTCGTCATAAGCGCTTTGCAAGTGGAAAAGCATCCGGTTACCATGCCTGGCCCATATGTAACACCGCCTGCCCAACGCCATCTCTATCACAGCAATTCCGCTTTTCATATGACACCACCGGCACGTCGCCTGGATAAGGGCATAGCGGCACGCAACGTTGGGCCCTTTGCTGGTCTCAATGGTAGCGCTGGTGTTAGCTGTACTTCGCGCACAGCCAGTCCCATACCGGGTGGCGGTCGTTTTGGTAGTGTCACAAGCGTGCATGGTGGCGTTGGGGGCGGTTATGGGGGAGGTGGTGGTGGTGGTGGTTATATGGCTGCAGCTGCTGCCGCAGCTATGCCGTTCCATCAGGGTTCGCCACGTTTCGAACAATGGCGCAGTTCTCCGAAGCCGCACACGTCGCCAAAGATGAAATTAAGGTCCGACAATGAGTTTAGAATACCTACATATATAGTATTTCTATTAGAATAATTTGCTTTTATATGCATCAATGTTATGCGTTTTATTTTTAAAATTTCGGTTGCGCTTTTATGATTTTTTCATTTGCTGGATTTGGTACAAGAATCCAACGCTTATATTTTTTGTACTTCTATGCTTTTGACTTTTTTTCTTAACAGAGGTCGTCCCTCGGCAGGCAATGGCAAACCTCCGAGTGTATTTCTGCCATGAAAAACAGCTTCTCATAAAAATATAATCGCCGTTCGGAGTCGGCGTAAAACTGTAGGTCCCTGTGTGACAATATCAAGGCGCACGCCACAAGTCGGAGGAGAAGCTCGGCCAAACACTAACATATGTTTAAGCGCCAATCTATTATTATTATTATTATGCTTTTGACTATCCTTATTTTGGTAGCTTTTTCTTGCCATAGAGGCTGTTAGTAACTACTGTACTTAATATAATATAAGTAATATTTTTGGTCATATCCAATTTAGCTATTGGTATTTATGTGTGTAGTCGACTTATGCAAACCAGACAGGGCGTATGAGTGATCTGTCGCTTAAATTGGGAATCCACCCTAAGCTTTTCTGGCGTTAAGCGCTGTTCAGGGCTCGAATCGTCACATACGATACCGTATTACTCGTCACGTAAAAACACACTTTTCGTATTATCACATACGTGAACGTAACCCTATCCCATTCAGCTTTATAAGTCTGACGTATCACTTAATTTGCTTTCATATGGTTTTCGATCCATGAACGGATGTAACGATTCGAGCCCAGGCTTTCAGAGCTTTATTCAGCCTAAAGATTATGAAGTCTAAAAGTGTTCTAAAAAGCTTGGCGTGAAATTCTACGCTTGCCGATGTGAGAATGAGCACTTCCCCATCCCTTCAGGAAAAGTTTCCAACTGACAAGTTACAATGAAAGCGTTGATCTAAACAAAAGTGCACTTATTCTTTGGTTCCAAATCAGCTGACTGTTATCCCATCTGAAATTATTGTTCTTCCCTACTTGCTGTAAATGAAAAGTAAAGAGTATAGCGATTTTCGTTCGATACGTAGAGTTTATCCACTTTTCAGTTGCACGCTTTTGCACAAGAGATAGAACGCACTGATTCTGGCGAGCTTATAAGTAATCTAAAATTAAAAAGTGGTGCATCTATGCCTTTTTTGCATGTCAAACATCTAGAATTAAAAAATGAGATAACTTAAGTCCGTTCTAGGTAATGTTCTTAAAAAAAGCAAAAATTATGCTAAAAGTTATAAAATATGGCGCCAATCATTTTTAATTGCATTTCATTCACTATGAGTTACAAGTTATTGAGAACTAAGTACGGGTTATTGAGAGACGCATTTTTAAAAGGCATAAAAGATATCCGGCTTTTTATATATTTAGTATAGAAAGCTTGAAAGAGCCTTGCCCGCGGGCAAGCTGATGCCCACTACCGGTGTAGAGCTTGAACTGTTGGCATGCAGAAATGCGGCACGGATATTCTATCAGCAAATAAGATGGAAATCTGGTAACAGATGTCCAGTGTACACACACCAGAGATATGGAGTCCAGACCAATGTACAGAGACGAAGCTCATGTCCCTTCACTCAACCAAGTCGTAGAGAGAGCAGTAATAACGCCGCTTAAAAAAGGCGATGCTGCTGGAGCACTGCCGGCTGAGCTTTTCAAAGATGGCGCCGAAGATCGATGATACGGCCTGAAAGACTAAAGCCCTTTATAAGCCAATTGCCTGCACCTTATCAGTATAGCTTGACGTCAGGCAAATCGTCCAATAGTGGAAAAAATCTTAGATAAGAAAATCGACGCACACCATCGTTTTGTTGATTTTAGAGCAATGATGGGCAAAACGCTACTCGCGAGTAGCGTCTGCGTCGCAGCGCTTATACGTATACAGAAACGACGCAGCGAATTTCAATTCAGTCTGCTTTCAGTTTTCATGAGAGTGATACCACGCTTTGCCGTTGAATATTTTTATTCGTAATTTCAGCGCGTTGTTGCCACCTATATATGTAACAATGCCCAAAATGGCTGCGTATGAGTGCCAATTACAATTTTCGGTTCTAAGAAAAGACAATAATGCCCAATGCTTGTTATGTGGTAATACGACTACTTGGAATCGTTCTTTTAATATAAGGCGACATTATTTGTCATGGTAAAAAAGTCAAACTGCCGAACTGTGTAAACCAATTTAAAGTTTTTTGTAATGGGTTTTATGTATATATGTATGTACGATACGGCAATTTAATATATTTAGTATACTTTATTGAATACTGAGTTTTTTACAAAGTTTAGAAATTTTAAATTCGTGAATTTTGTTGTTGAATAAACTATCATTTTTTAAAACATTAGTTTAATGAAATTAAATTAAAAAACTTTTCATGCACGTACATATGTACTTATAAAAATTAATTTCATAATTCAATATTTGAAATTATTTCTTCATTATTTTTTTATTATATTTTATTATTTTCGGTTCATGTTCATAATACAAATTAAATATAAATTTGTAAGAGCGTTTTCTAACACGCGCAAAAAACGACGCACTTTTGTACAATATAGAAAAGTGGCAACTGTTACTCAGCGCGATTCACGAATACCATGACAAAATGAGACTGTATTGGTGTGCCCATCTATGTTTTAGAGTCACTTTTAACAGCATAAAGAGAAGCTACCTCTGCGGCGCCATACCTAAATTTAATACGACCATGTAGTCTGACACTGAGCACAACTTTTACCACTGTCTTAATTGAAAAGCACCTCTACAAACGATATTTTGGACAGTAGAACTCACTTCTTTGCGACTTCTGCAATCTTATATTGGAAGGCGTAATACGAGCGGCCATTCTAATTCACAGTGGCAACATACATACAAATCGTAGTTTAAGGTACAGAACCGCGTATCAAGAAAATGCAAAACCGCGTATCGCATTTCTGGCAAGTATATTTGAGGACGAATGGATAAGGCTTGAGCCAAGAGCTTCGGTGAGCAAATCCAATTTTTGGCAGCAAATGTCAGTTACGCGGTTTGGAGGAATGACGATACGCGGTTTTGTACTTTAAACGACGATATGTGTGTATACATATATATAAGAAAAGCATGATTCTACTGTATTAGATTAAAGTTAATGACAATTATTATTCAAAATGACATGGAAAATGCCATGAATCCAGGAAGTTTTTGACTTTACAACTTAGATCTACGCAATATAAACATCTTGACTTTTATTTAGACTTAATAGTTTAAAAATTTTGTTTATTTAAATTACTTTATTTTCCATTTCAACGTTTTATATTTTTATTTATTTTTAATTTTATTTTGTTTAATACTATTTATTTTATTTTAAACATTTTGTTATACTTAATTTTATTTCATTTTATTTTAGTAATTTTGTTAATATTTTTTGTTAAAATGTTTTTATTTCAATTTATTAGTTTTTTCCAACTTTTGATGTTTTTATTATATTTTTTATTTTATTTCATTTATCTTTTTTTATATTTTGTTTTATTTATATTTTTATATATATATATTTTTTACTATTTTTTTATCTTATTTAATGCTTTCTTATTTAATTTTTGTTTCATTGTATAGGTTTTTTATTTTGATTGAATATTTTCGTTTTTATTTATTTTTTATTTTATTGTTCTACTGATTTTTAATTTTTTTTAATTTTATATTAATTTTATTTAATTTAATTTAAGGCAATTCCATTTTGGCTGGTGGATCATTAAATTCCAGAATATCAGCAATTTAAAATTACGCCGGTCAACAAACATGTGTTTTCTTTGGGTTTCTGTTCTCTTGCTTAGATTCTAATTCCAAACATTAAAAAACACTTGAATTTTCATTTTTAGTTCTTAAAGTTTGCTCTTGTCTGATTAACGCCGATAAGTATAAGAAATCCGAAAAATATTCACTTTTAGACATTAATTTCTTGTTATTTTAAATTTATATGTTATTGTTTATCACAAATCTGAAATAAAAAAGACTCTGATATCCAGCAAAAACTTTTCTAATTTAAAGTTAAATTATAAAAAAAATATATAAAAATTAGTGAAGCAAACTTTGATCAAAAAATAATTTTTTCCCTTATTTTAGCGTAGGAGAAACTAAAATTTAACATGTGGAAGTCAGACTTAAAAAATTGTGTTGACTGGTGTTATAGCTTCATACATATCGTCGATGTTTTTGCAAAACGGCCCATCTTACGGCACTATGGCGGTATTTTCTCTAGCTATTATTTTACAAATGTGTTGTTTTAATAACGATTTAACGATTTTTATGCATAAATCTCGATGCCTGGAGTTCAGGGTTACCAATTCTCTTTTTTTTATCACAACGGCGATTTAGGCGGTTTTGCAAAAACATCGATGATATGTACATAGTATGTATGTATGTCCTCGGAGCCTATACAAGAGTGAAAGATCTTTTTAAAAATACCAAACATTTTCTTAATTCTTTGTAACACACCTTTGTGCACTCAAAGGCGAATTTTATCCAAAAAGCTTCATTTTGAAGCCTGATTTTTACTATACGCTTTCGTTTTCATAAAAATTTAGGCGTATATAATCTGCATAGCAATACTTAAAATTGTCGCTGGTGGAGCATGTCCTTGTGACTGATGTAAGTAAATACATACATATGTAGTAAAGCTTCCATTTACAAAAATTAGAGCTTCTATTATTTTTTTTTTTAATATTTTTCAACAGATTAATGAAAGGTAGGCATTTAGCAGAGGTTACTACTGAAATAGGCATAATTAAGGCATTATAAATGTATCTCATTTTCCACTTCAACATGGAATGACCCTCTAGTTTTATAATTTTAATAAAAAAAAATTGTTTTTCTTCACTTTATTATATGTATGTATGTACTGAGCCTTTACAAAAATGATAGCTTATTATAGCTTCTATTTATTTTTTTAGTATTTTTCAACAGATTAATGATTTATTTAATTTGATTTTATATTAGTTTTTCTATGTAATTAACATATTTTTTTACATGTTTTATTTTTGAGCAGAAAATTATTATTTTTTCGTATTCTCGCAACTTTAAATTCTGTTAATACTTGCCATCCACCAAAAATAAAACAGATTACGCTTTCCCTTTCCTCAGATACTTGAAAACTATTTTCCCCAAGGCAGATGAAATGGTTCTCTTGGATATACTCGCCAGCTCCGATAATAATGTACAAACAGCATCAGAGAAACTCATTTCCATGGGCTATACAAAACGTGATTTTATACCACCAAAAACCACACATCGCTTCGATGCAGAGCATGCACATGCTGGGGCGGTCAAAAAGCCTGGCGATGAGACGATTATACCACTGCGCCCGAAAGAGTACACGATCGAGGAGAAGGCAGCAAGTAAGTATTTTTTATACACCACTAAAAACTAATTTTTTTTTAGATGATATTTATTTAAAATTTATAACTCATATTTCCTGTTTTGCAGTACAAGCCCAACTGAAAGAGAAATACCCACAGACAGCTGATCGCATTATACTTATGGCTTTGGAGTCGGTTAACTACGCTGAGGATCGTGCTATACAAATTCTTCATATTGTGCAGGAGGAGGATGAGCTGGACGCCAGGAAACATGCCGCTGCTGCTATTGCGCTGACGTCAGCTGGCGGTGAAGCCGAAGTGCTTTTGGGTGCCAGTGGTATGCAAGGCACGTTGGCCGATAACAATGCAGCTGAGGATAAGTGAGTTCGATATATATTGTTTTTTTTTTGTTTTTTTTCTGATTTTGATTGGTGAGTGTTAATTTACATATGAGGAGAATATGTACCTCTGTTTTTTAATTTTTATGGATTGGTTTTTGGAGTGCGAAAAAGTGTTTTGAACTAATGCCCTCTCATCTTTCACAATAAATTTCCTGGTGTATGTTTTGTTTTCTTAATATATAGAATTCGAAGTTTTGCAATGAATTGGAAATGTATAAAAAAGAAAATTACTTACAAAAAAAAATGTTTAATTCATATAAATATTCGAAAAAATTATAGCCGATCCACAAGTTTTAACAATTTATTATATTGTTATTTAATCGTGGTTATTTTTTATAAAAATATAGTTAATTCTTTGACGAAACCCATGTAAATTCCGGTTTCAAACTTTGTGCGACATTAAAAAAAAATCGACAAACTTTCGTAAAAATTTCGAGATTTCTTAAAAAGATTTTGTAGCCCATTGAATTCAAGTAGAATAAAGTACAAGTTTCAAATGGCTAAACATTACCGTTAGTTTCCTTATAACGAATGAACACACTTTATATTTACATATTTATATAGAAGAAACGTCTTCGACAAAACAAAAAACTAAAACATCACCGGTAATTTTAAACCATTTAAAACTTGTACTTTATTCTACTAGTATTCAGTGGACTTTGCGTACTCAACATCTTTCTAAGACATCTAGTTAAAAAGCTCGGTATTTTAAAGAAAGTTTGTTGATTTTATTTAATATTGCACAGAGTTTAAAACTGGGATTTACACGGTTTTGTTAAAGAATGAACAGTATTTGCTATAAAATTAAAATAAGTAAAATTAAATAGCAAAAAAAATTAATACATATATTAAAAACTATTTAATATGTGGTGCGGCTACAATTTTTTCGCACTGTATGTATCTCAAAGATGTTATGAGGCTTTCAAACTAACTAAATTGCATTTATAATTCTTCTGGGTACATTAAACATTTCGGCAAGTGAAATTTATGCAAAATATTCATGATTTACATGCCTACATACATATTAAGATTAAAAGCAAAATTTGTTCACTTTCTCAAAGTTTTACGTTATTTATTTGTGAAAAATCCCATTTTACCTAATCTACGCTCGCTTTTTCGCTTTCATGTTTTTTTGTTTTTCTTTCCCAATCAATATCCATTTAATTTACGCTAATAAATCCAAAATTATTTTTCCCATCTAATAAATTCTTAACAAAATAAGCAGCATCATCACCGTTGTCCTCACAACATCGCCAAATACCTACAGCGACAACGTTAAAAGTCGCCATAATGCTTCTGCAAAAGATATTCCACATACAACCATATCATATTCATCACCATTAACATCATCAACAGCCACAACATCATCATCGTCATCGGCATCATCATCAGTACCACCGCTTTCATTAACTTCCAGCACCCTAAAATCCTCCACGAAAATCAATGCAATTCGCAACATTGGCAAAAAGGTAGCTTTTCCTTCCATTAATCTAACCACGCCCACTACGGCTACTACTCAGATAATACTCTCAAATTCGCCCACTTGCAATATTGAACACAACGAAGAGCAACTACCAGCAGCAACATTCGCCACAAGCGATGCTGTTGATCCATTGAAAAACTCATATACAAATATAAGTTCATCAGCCACACAATCGACTCCCTCCATTTCACCGTCCGAAGCACTCAAAGAGCTTAGCATATCACATGAACCAACAGCAGCATCAACATCGTTATCTGTGCTATCATCGCTGAGCACAGAGCCAGCAAAATATCAAACAATTACAACAAAGAGCATCCTGGCACGTTGCAATGCGTATGCCACTAGAATCAATGGATATCTGCATGGTACACCATGTAGCACCAAAACCTCGACTATAACTTCCGCTTCTACGCGTACTACCACGGCTTCTATTTTGGATAACTTGAAAGCGACACGCTTAAGCGAAAAAACCGACTCATTAAAGTACGCTGAGCTTAACTGTGAAGTGCTTGCAGAAACTATTGATCCTTTAGAACTAATTTTCTTATTACTCTGAAAATTTTTTATTATATTTTGAATGTATCTATGGTTTTCAAATATTTCATATTTTAATCTTGTCCTCGGCTAGAAATTTTAAATTTTGCATTTTTATTGCATTCTCGTGTGTTCGCATCTCGATTTATTTTTTTTTTTTTAATATTTTACTTCTAGTATATAGTATTTAGTTTTTGGCAGCTTACTTTTTAGTTAAATTTTTATGAAATATTTTTGATAAGTAATAGTTCATTTCGACCAAGCCTTAACCGCAGTTTATGCCTATTGGAAAAAGGATATTACCACTTGAAGAGGGTGATTGCGCATAGTCAGTACAAGCAAACGAGCGTGAAAAAGAAAAAAGTAAGAAAAAAACATGCCGATGTTAAAATTCTAAGCTAACCCCTGGTCGCTTAAATGCAGTTAGGCTTTGAGTGGAAATGGGCTATAAGAAACAACTTAAGTATTAAGTCCAAATATTTTAATTATTCAAATAAGTAGCTGTTAATTGAATTTATTTAAACTCAAAATATTTAATAACCTTTTAAGCACCTTTCTATGTTCAGTTTACGAATAGAGAACAACTTATTGGAGTCTTCAAAATATTTAAATTTGTCCCCAATCCTGGACAGTGGCAGAGAAAGTACTCGCCGCTTTAAATTTTATTTTCATCTAGGCAGTTGCTACTGAAGTCGGTTGTCAGAAAGCCATTTCTTCGTGCGTGTATTCTATTAGGCAATGTCCAGTGATGATTCCAACAACCATACTAAGTTCAGGCTGTTCCAGGGAATTGAAGGTGCTGTACTTATATGTTGGCTGTATAGACCAACTTCTGTTTGCCAGTACCAGGAAGTAGGTTTTAAGAATGAAGACGCATATCCGCTTCATATCTGACCCACTGTGGACGTGTCTTCGAACCCAAGTCATACTTGCAGGGTGCAGGCAGTTCGTTTAGAATTTGTATCTATGTACATACATATGTCAATATTCGATAGTTAAGTATTTCAGAGGAAGTGATGTAGTATTATATATCTTTAGCGTCTTGGTTGTCCGCGAATATGATTACTTCTGGCAGGTTAACATTAGCCCTGATTAACCACTGCGCGACTTCCTTAATACCTATCAAATAGGCTTGAATCACTTTGCAGGGATCGGGCAATCGAAAACAAGATTTAAGTTAAAGTTCCCGGGAATAAACACCACTTTGTACTCTCTGCTCCAGATTGGAGTCGTCGGTGTATATGATAGTAGAGTCTAACTCTTCTGTCTGGAAACTAGAATTTAGCAAGTCAGATGTCTAAAATTATTGAGCGACAAAACCTTGTGTCCCTGCACTTTGTCAGAACGTTTTATCTGACTGCATTGCTGCTTGACTATAGTCTACCGTGTAGGCTCCCAGGCCAAAACTGTAATAGTGCATACGTATGCACATTAGGGTGGTCCTTAAATGTAGGAAGCAAATTTTTATATCAGATTGGAGACGATTAAGGCGTGTCGCACAGAGGTCAAATTTCTCTATGGAGGGTTCACATTCCTCTATGGGGACTAAAAAAATTTAAATTATTATTTTTTTTATCTAATACCCACAATCGATACTACCATAGTCGATGAAATCACATATAAATTTGGGTCCCAATTAAAGTCGGAACAAATATTTATAATTTTTTGAGTCCATAGAGGACAAATGCCAGTTTCGATTCCGCATTTCAATTCCAGTTGGGTCTCCTGACTACGTTAATACGAGTATTTAATTAGTACGTCCGCCAGTATCACTGAAAGACTATTTAGCGAAGGAAATTGGAATGGAGATTTCTAAATATACTGTTGTTGCAAAAGCGTACAAATTCCCCACAGAGTTTTTTCGGGGATAATGCGGGAGTGACAGTCCTCGGCCAGATATAAATCTGCGTCGTTCCGGTTACGTAAACCCGACTGTCGTGGGAACGTTTGAATATACTCGTTTTGTTGTTGTAACAGCATGCAAATTCCCCTAAGTTTTTGGTTCTGTTTCGGTTACACACAGACCCAGTGGCTCAGTTTTTCGTTAGCATCTTTCGCTAATCATTCGGCGTAAGAATTTTCTTCTATATCCTTGCAGATTTTTTTCGACATATCAAACTTCAAAACTAAATATGAATAAAAAGTTAAATATAGAAATAAATAAATTATAAAAATAACGATAAAGCCAAAGGGACAGACATAGACATTGACAAATATAAAGTTTAATATAAATACAAAGTCAAAGAAAAAAATTATATAGATAAAGGTAGCGATAAAGATAAATATAAGATAATAAGTAAATTAAAAGATAGGTGTAGTGGCTGAGTGGTTAGCGATGCGTACCACCACTCCGTAGGACCTGGGTTCTCTCTTTTGAAGAATATTTACATAAAAATTTTTTTTTTCAAGCATTTGCCCCTTAGCAGGCAGTGGAAAACCTCATCAAAACTCATGGTACAATAAAAACAGGTAGAAGCCAAATTGACATCAAACCTACAAAAGTCAAAGTTTTCGGGAGAGTAAAAATAAAAATGAGCGTGTGTAAGGAAAAATAAAAAAATATATTTCACTGGTTGACGTTTTTAAGTATATTTGAAGTTTATTCTTATTTATTTATTTTCTTTAGTTAAAATTTGAAAAAACGTGTATGTTGTTTTCTGTTTTTGTTTTATGAGTTGCAGTGTTGTTGGAGGGACTTTTCGGCATAAGGGTCATAGGAACAGCACTTGGCTTCAAACGTGCCTTTCCTGTACCTCCCGGTGTATTTGTACTTCTTTAAAATGTTTAACGCACAGCAAGGCATTTCACTGCAGCTCTGCCCACAGCTGCTTTCGCAACGTTCCATACGCGAAGGACATTGAGGCACGTTAAAAAATTAGTGGTATCTGCCTTATATTTAACACCACATAAAACACAACGCTTCAGGTGTTGCATTTTTAACACATACACTAAGTATAAACCGCACAACACTACAAAAATTCAAATGCAAATTAAAATTTGTTATTAACGAACATTCAAAAAAAAACAACGATATGACATTCAAAGCGTAACGAAATATAGGAAATAAAATAAAATCAAGTTGAAGTTTAAAGGTTTGGTTCTCATGAGAGCAACGTCATTTTGGCTTCTACCTGTATTTATGTGCCTTGATCAAAACTATTCGCCGTTCGAAGGCGGCGCACAGTGGTACCGCTCTCGAAGGAAGGCGGTCATAGAGGTTTTGTGAGCGATGAATCCGCGGTTTTTTTGTCTAGTTGTTTTGGAAAAAATCCCTTTGATGAAAAAGTGCATAGAAAAGTGTTTTTTTAAATTTTTTATTTATGTAAAGTCAAATTACTACTAGATCATACAAACAATGCATACAAAGGTAACATAGTTTTAAGTGCATAATAAATCGAATACCTCTTTTGATAGCTCAGACCTGGATTTTCGCGGTAATTTTCGAAGGCTAGATATGTCGTTCGAATGGACACAGACGCTCCAGCTCTGAGAGAATTCAACTCGGAACCCGCTGGTGGTAGAAGAGGAAGAGGGAGGCCCGCACTACGATGGAAAGATCAGGTGGAGAAGGACTTGGCTTCATTTGGCGTTTCCAATTGGCTTCAGTTGGCACAGAGGAGAAACGACTGGCTTTGTTTGCTGAACTCGGCCAAAATCGCTTAGGCGGTGACAGCGCCAAAAAATAATAAGAAGAAGATATGTAGGATCAGGGTTAAGAAGTAATCTGTGCAAAAGGTCAGTATTGGTGAAAACACGGGAATTTGTTCTTGTGTTGAAACGTCGAAATTGCCTCTCTAGCTTATTCCATGATTCGGCAGCTTCTTTGGAGAGCTCATCAATTGGCAAGATTGCGAAATCAATCACCTCGGACCAATGGATTATGGACAGATGGTGGTAAATTATACGACGGATATGCCCCAACTAGGTTTTTCGCAACTTCAAATGCATAAATTTTAAATTTTTTAGTATCTATTTTATAACCCGACGACAGGCACTGCAGGATGCGGAAATACTTGTCAATAATAACCTTATCTGTTCCAGTAATTTCTGCTGAAATAACAGTTTCGGAAAACTTTTCGAGCGGTATTGCCGTCGTTGGTTGCGCCGCTTCCACCGCTTCGAGGCTTGTCCACAACCAAACCTAAACGATCCCTAAACTGCTGCTGCACGGTTTTCTTTCTTTGCGCTACAAGAGCCTTATCTTCGTCTGAGCTACATTGCCGTTTTTTTAATAAATTTTATAAGAAACGTGGATTAAATTATTGAAAAAACCGAATCCACGAATGAAGTGGCGACAAGCCAAACTCATATTTGGAGATGTCTACTGGTTTGCTTATAGATCGTTCAATGTCGTTCATCTCATTTGGTGTTGCTCCACAAATGTAACATCTATTGGTAGATAAATCGCTAAGAGCAGAACAAATTTTTCCGTCAACCGTTGATAGATGCAAAGAATGCTCCACAACTACTTCGCGATTATGGAAAAGTAACGAAGTCGGTTGTAACTTGTTAATTTTATCTTTAAAATAAGCTTCTTCTTGCACGGAAAGTTCTTTTGTTCCTTTGGCAAATTTTAACCGAATCGGTCTACAAAACCTAGTAGAGGATGGCCGGGGATTCTTCCAAACAGTAATAGGTGAATCTGACATGCTAGATTAATAAATTAATTTAAGGCCAACTCAAGATGTTACAAATAAGCTGCTGTCCTCAATTTTTGAATCCGAAATTTTTTGTTTATATTCCATGTGCCCGGTACTGCCATAAAAACCCCACTTACCAATTAAAACATAATCATTATTTGCATCAACACGATCTTTCACGCTCTTTTGGGATTCAAAAATTCGAGAAGTAGTGTGGTCTAACAAAGACTGTAAATTAGCAGAGCATTCTGTAACACATTCCTCTAATGGATAACATCGTTTCTTTGCTTCTAGCACTTTCTGATATGAGGGCAAAAAATTTGTAAATTTAAAGTAATGGTGTTTTGTCAATTTAGCCTCCGTAATTAGTGATACCATTTCGTCAGCGCTGAATTGTACAGAAGAGGGGCTTGATTGGGCGGAATCATTAATTATCGCAGTGACGGCAGAAGTATCGACCTTTGATAGTTGAGCTAATCTGCGGCGCTTAGATCTCTTACTGCAGTCAGCAAATGGTTTTCTATGCAATTGCTTGCTTGTAGAGGGCAAATCTTCATTACCAGTCTTTGCAAATGTAAAAAGAGTGCAATTTTCATTTTCATTTAACCAGTCGCAGTATTTGCTGATTAGTCTGGATCTTGATCTGTCAACTTGCGTCCAATATTTCAAAAACCTTCGGCAAAGGTAGAAAATGCAATTTTTCAAACTGTCAGTATTTACATTTTCGCCTGATGGCACAGATTGTGTCAGGACTTCAAAAACTTTCCGTTTCCTTTCTTCTTGGTTTTTGACGCTTTGATAGGAGAGCCATTTGTCCAATATAAACATTCGAGCAAATGAACATTTATAACTCGATCCTAAAATAATTTAAAAAAAATGGGCAATAGTGCCAATTAAAAAAATAAGTGAAACCTTGAAAATCTTTTTGAAATTGAGGGTTGTATAATCTTTATGCATTACCCCGAGGCAGCTAAACGCAGTTGGAAGGTTTTGATATTGAAACTAGAGATCTATGCAAACATTTTGGTACTAATATCATGCGTGCAATTTGGTGCAAAAGTAATTAAAAGCTTTGATAAATCGGAAAAGGCAATTTTTTTATATTTTCTGCCGCTTATTTAAAATTATATTTAAACTACTATTAAGACACTTTAAAGAAAAAAATCAAATACTTGGGCTATTCTACATACCTTCAGCTTTCAGCTCCATATCAAAAAAGTTCTGACAAGTAAATATTTTTGATCAAAATCTTCTCCGCGATTCACTTAAAATAATGCGTAGTTTTAGAAATAATAAGCACTTATGGAAAGTCTTCACTTTCGACGGTTGAGACGGAGCTTTAGCGTTAAAAAATTAATTTTTTTTTCTATTCCCAGTTAGAGTGGCTGTTAGTTAATAACACAGCCACACAAAAAAAAATTTGTGTTCTGACCCAAAGGTCTCACTATGTGTACGTTATGTTTTTGGGGTCGCTGAATCCGAATCCGAGGTCCATTTAACCCCATCAGTTCAGGGTTTTGATATAACCCCAGAAAACCAATATGGAGGACACCTTTTGGAAAAATTCATCGGATTCGCTTGAAACTCGTTACTCGGGGGTTTTCGGGGTCGCTAATTACGAATATGATATTATTTTTTCAAAAT